CTAACATTGTTATCTTTTTACAAAAAACAGCTGAACATGAGAGGTTTTTGGACCAATTTTGTGTTCTCCATTCTTTAAGCACCGGTTTGAGCACCGTTTGAGCACCGTTTGAGCACCGGCACCGTTTCAAAAGTACTGATTTGGCACCGGTATCGGATAAAACCTAAACGATACCCATCCCTAATTGTCACTTTATACTTTCTCCATCTTGAAAGTGATGACATCCTTGCATTACATACTTTAGGTTCATTTTCTGCAGGCAGGTTTCTGAGAGATAACAGGCAGATTTAGAATATAACATGCAGCGTTCTATAGATGGATACATAAAAAAAATGAAAAATCACATGCATGTGCTAACTTTCTAAACACTTTGTTACATTTATGATAAAGTAGATAAAACACATTTGTGTCAGCCTTGGCTCACTAGTTCTTGTCTTTAAATGAACTTTGTGTGTGTTTCAGGTCCTGCACTCACACTTTTGGCGACGAAGAAAAACTCATGGCTCAAAGTGGTCTAACTCAAAAAATGATCTTTATTTTATATTTCCGGAAAAGGAGACTGAGCACACAGAGACACCAGCTCAAGTCTAAAGCAGCAGCAGCCAGCCTGATTATTATATACTTCCTCTACACGTCACGCACACTTTAAGTTCCGATCAAACACTCTGCTTAGTTTCACTTTCTGTCTGCACCTCATATGCTCTGCAAAAGCATGCAGTTTCCTGTCAGCCTGCAACCTAGTTCTTTGTCACCTCTGGGCCTGGTTTATAAAGGCCTATACATAAAACAATATAACCAGCAAATAAGCATTAAGAATATATATTAAATACATGACAACTTTCAAAGACTGAATGAACCAGCATTGCAGCCATGGGTCACTGTGAGCATCACAGGGAAGGTTGAAGCCGCCCACTGCACCTGTATGGCCGGAGTCGCGGAGACCTGCAGCCATGTCACTGCTCTTCTGTTTAATGTAGAAGCAACAGTGCAGATCCGTGGCACAAGGACTGTTACAGATGAACATGCATACTAGGTTTTGCTGGGTAATATGACCAAGATACAGCCAGAGGTTGGCCATAATACTTCTCCTCTTCAGCTGCCCAAAAAGGCTCTTGATCAAAACATAAACAGACCATCCGTATTGAAAGGTAAAAGGAGCAGTCCTCAAAACAGAAAAATCCCACCTGCTACTGTGGAGGAGTTGTCACTGCTACTGGATACTGGATAAAGAAACAAACAAATTTTTGCCTCTTTTTTAAAAAAAATTAAAACCACTTTATAGAACATCACATCAGTTACAGTGTAGAATCCATGTCATTTATAGTTTACAAATGACAAAATGTTTACACAAAATCATGACAGTGTTTACATGATGTCACCCACTACCAGCACTTTATTTACTGTATCTTTTGAAAAAATACCGCTATTTATACAGCAAAAGACTTAAGAATATTTAACATGAGCAGGTTTCATTTTCCCTGGTTTTACTACCACACTGTTCACCAAAACGCAGCAAACCTTCACCATCTTATCCAGAAGGGTCACCTCTTCACCCTCACATGGAAGAAGTAATCTGACTGGCATGGTAGTATGTTTGAAGCAGGTCCCTTGTGTAGCGCTGGAACCCAGTCACGATGTCATCCTTGTCATAGGCTGGTTTGCTGCAATAATGCCAAATAATTAGCAACTCTATAAATAGTTGCTAAGGCCAAAATCCTTTCCACGCCCACCCCCGTGACATCACGCTCCAAAGCCCTAAATATACTTAGATAGGTTAATTGATTAATCCAAATTGCCCACAGGTGTGAATGTGGGAGTAAATGCGAGCGCGAATGGTTGTCAGCCTCTGTGTGTTGGCCCCGCGACAGACTGGCGACCTGTCCAGGGTAGTACCCCGCCTCTCGCCCTATGACAGCTGGGATAGGCTCCAGCGCCCCCTCTGACCCTGAAAAGGATAAGCGGAAGCGAATGGATGGATGGATAAAATTCCAACTATAGTGGGGGAGGAGAATCTGAACACCTCACTCAGGAGTAAACTAGACCCTGTGTCACTATATTCTCTTGCTAAACAACTTAAATTGGAAGATGCTCAAACATTAATAAGGGGGATTTCCAAGGACGATGGGTTCACACCAGGGACGTATGATGAGAAAGAGTTTGGTAGGTTTTTGTGTGGCTACTAAAAACATGTGGTGGAGGACATTTAACTGGAAATGTGTCATTAGGAATTTTATCACTCCACATGTGAGGAGTAAACTGCTTCAAATGCAACAGACCTGCTATGTCTTGGAATATGTCATTTACATATATCTCACCTGTACCCACATCTTCTATGTTAGCATTGGCCACTCGTTAGTATGCTGGTTACGTGAGCCTGACTTATAATTTCATGCATTATTTTATTGTTCACTTGGGTTTCACCTTTGCATAATCATGAGCATTACAGTTTTTCCTAATTGTTTACAGACATTTTCCGAAAGCATATTGTCAGAATTCAACACACAAATCAAAAAACACACACACAATGGGCAAAACCCTTCAATTCACCTGCAAAATAAAGTCATCATATTGACTTACTGTAAGCCTTTTTATGTTCAGTGTAACACTTACTACAGACAGTACATAGGCCTACATGAGTGCATTGTAAAAGATTACAGAATGTTTGTATACAAAACTCACAAATACATGGTGCCAAATATATTTTTACTGTATTCTCCCACAAAAACAATGTACAGTGTTCATCCCAACCAAAACAAAGTTGCGCGTACCATCAGTGTTGGCCAAGTTACTTTGGAAAGTAATTAATTATAGTTACTAGTTACTTCTTCAAAAAAGTAACTGAGTTAGTTACTGAGTTACAATATTCTAAAAGTAATTAATTACTTGAAAAGTAACTATTGCGTTACTTTAAAAAAACGTTTAACCCTCTGGGGTCCAGGGTATAATTGGCCATTTTTTACTACTTTTGATTCTCCCTCCACATTTCACCTTTAAAAACTATTTACTTTGCCTTTTTTGGTATCATCCTTTTCAGCACAACCTCACGTGTCTGAATTTACAGTCATGCTTTCATTTTGATATACTGTATTAACGCAATTGATCTAAAATCAGACAAAAAACATGAAATCAGAGTAGAAAAGGTTATATTTTTTACTGTAACAACCACAAACATGTTTAATGAATCATATTTCATAACTTAAAATGTAAATATAAATTGTCAATTTTAAAATCCTATGCACAAGTTTTGCAAACAATAAAGTTATTTGCATCAATTTACCTTTTACCTTGATTTTTTTAAATAACCATTTCAAACTATTTACAGAACAATCAGCTGTTCTGCATTCAATAAGATGCCACACAAATTATTTGCGCGACTCCAAAAAATTTATTTCTGTTCACTATAAAGGAGAACATCACAGCCTGATACCTGCAGGTCTGACAGCAGCAGGTGTATCACTGCTGTTTCTACCTGGAGACAGCAGTCGCCTCATTGTTCTGACACACAACACAAAACTATCCACAACACTACACACTAACTACACAAGACAACACATTAACTACACACTCAAACACGCTAAACGTCACAAATCTCTCACATCGCAAAACTTGCTCTCCTTTTTCTGCTCTCTCCCTCTCTCTCTCCCTTCATCACTCCTAAAACTTCCCCTGTTTTGTTTTTTTTACTCATAAGCAGAGAGTGCTCGCTGCGCTGTCCTTAGACAGTAAACGTGTTAGTCCAATAATCACACAACTGGTATGTTAACTCCAACTTTAATGGTTGCCTTCTTTCGTTCCTCCACACAGGAAAAAACTGACACTCCAAAAACTCCTACTTCCCCTTCCCACCTGCGTGTAGCCATGCCCCCCTTCACCGGACACTTGCGCAGTGGGACAGATACATCTTAACATCTCCCCTTTTTCTTTTAAGGAAAGGAAAACAGATTAGAACAATTTTTTTTTTTCTTTTTGAACAATATAACATAAACATAATATAACACCCCAAACTAGTGTTTAAAAGAAACATTTTTATGGGTGTTAATTTTTCATTTTTTGTCATTAGTCCTTTCAGCTTTCTAGCTGCCATTCCCCTTCTCTCAGGGCTCTTAGCAGTCCAAGTGCTGATGTCCCCACTTTTGTCAGGCAGTTAAGCGAGCTGCTCTTTGGTAGATATGATCCATATGATGTGCCGAACAGTCCCTGTGTGCATAA